TTAAAGTCATTCCAGATGGCACAATATTCCTCTGGGCCGGGCTCTAATCAGACATCTCCAGTCCCCTCCATGTCTCTGTACCCCCTACCATATTGGCAGGAAAGCTTGTTTCCTCTGAGACTTGGGTAAGTTACTGTGCATTAGCAGAAGTACCTATGGGAGTGTGTGGGGTAGCGCTGTCAAAGGGCACAAGATGTAGTGGGACCAGAGGAGCGATGTGCATTTCAGGTGACAGATATGTCAATCAGCGTGATTCTATCATTCCACACTGAGTACAAATATGATGCCTTCATGTTGTCCCCTGTGGATATGATTTTATTTTATTTTTTTGGTACCAGGAATCAAACTCAGGACCTTGTGCTCACCAGGCAGGCATTTGTGCCACTGACCTAAATCCCCAGTCCTGAATATGATTATTTTAAAAGCTAAAATCAAGAAATGAAATGCTTATGGAGTTAAATTTATTTTTAAATGTACCTGTTCCATGAGACTAGTTTACATAAAGGCTGTGTAGTAAACAAATACAATACTATCCTGTTTTTCAGTTTATTGAAATGAAGGCATTTTCCAATAGAATGCGTGTGGCCCTGCCATCCTAAATGTCTGGAAAGAAAAGTAATTTAATGGAGGGCTAGCCAAACATTTCAAATAATGATTATCCTCAGATATCAGGGTATTATTATGCTTCAAATAACAATTATCCTCAGATATGAGGAGGGTCATGGCAGCCTCCTCCATGCCTACTACCTGTTGACTTTTTTTCTGTTGGCTCCTCCACTGTCTACAACCTTCCACCCAGGCCATGATGTTGATTATCCATCCAGAGGGGCATAATATCAATTTTTTTGTAGAGGTGCACTATTGTGGAGGTATAATGTCCACGTTTATTTTTTAGAATATTTCTATTGATGAGTTTTTAATTTTATGAGTTTTAATATTTTAAACAATTAGTACTTAAACAGGAAAAATACAAAAAAAGTCTTGAATTTTTATGTTTATTGAGTATTTATAAAAGCACCAAAATTTTCAACATTGACTTTTTGGTATACAAAGTCTAAAAAATAACACCAGAAATAAATTCCTATATGAACTGCAATGGAAATATCAATAGAACTCTACAAAAAAATACCTTTACTTCAATTGTCAAACCCAAGGCTGTCCTCACACATGACAACTGCATGTTCCATGTCACTTAGACTGATAGCACATGTGCTTAACTTTCCTTTCCTGTGTGCCTTGTCACCTCTCTTATTTTTATCTTTTGTCAAGAGCTTCCTACTATATTGTACAATGTGCACTTAGTAGGAAAATAAGATATTAATAAAATATCAAATGTGTAATGAGTGCTTAGAATAGACATCAACATCTTCATATCAGCTGTTTACTTGTTTACAAAACCTAAAAGAAAACATCAGAAATAAAAACCTGTGTGAACTACAACGTAAAGACAAACAAAAGTCCACCACAGAAATAATCTTTGCTTTAACTGTCACACCAAAGGCAGTCTTCACACATGAAAACTGCATGTTCCATACACAAATATCACTTACACTGATAGCATGTATGTTTTGTTTTCCTGTCCTTTCCTGTAGGGCACAGTTGACATCCTCTTGGTTTTCTTGTTGTTGTAGTAGGTCTTTGTGATGCTGCACCTGTTAGCTCACCAGTGTGCTCCACAATTTTTTGTGTAGTTCCCTGGGCAGAAACCTTTTGTTTTTCCTCTGCTGTCAATGATCTCTTATGAGCTCCAGTCCCAATCCCAAGAAAATTTCTCTGTGATATTTTGTGCTTGTTATTTTTTTGTAAACTATCAAACTATGCCATGCATGTTTAGGATCAAGTAAAACACCATTGGCCAATGCTTTGTGTTTTGAGTGACATCATAGTTGCTGGATAACTCAACAACATCTACTCCACCTCTGGTTTTGTTGTAGAAAATTAGCGTCTCAGGCTTCTGTTTTATTGAGGTTTCTCTCAGTATTTCCATCATGGTGCAATGTTGATATCAGTAGTACCAGTTTGTTTTTCTTTGCTATACATGAGGCCAATATATCTTTCTGAAATGAAAAGATTATAGTACAAAGATCTCTGTTTTGTAGTTGTGCCTGCATCTTCTAATCTGTTCCATTGATCCTCAGGTCTGTTTTTTTTTTTTTTTTTTTTTTTTTGCCAGTACCATCCTGATTTTATCACAGTACCTTTGTAGTATAATTTCAAGTCAGGGATTGTGATGCCTCATGCCTTGCTTTTGTTATCCATGATTGCTTTTGGTATTCTACGTCTCTTCTGGTTCCAGATGAATTTTAGGAATGCTTCCCTAGATCTGTGAGGTATACTAATTGTATTTTGATTGGGATTGCATTGAGTCTGCATAACAGTTTTGGGAGTAGGGCCATTTTCACAGTGTTGGTTTTTCCTATCCATGAGCGAGGAACATCTTTCCATTTTCTAAAATCCTCTTTGAGCTGTTTTTTCAGAGTACTATAATTTTCACTGCATCGCTCTTTTACTTCCTTTGTTAGATTGATTCCTAAGTATTTCATTTTTTGGATGCTATTGTGAAGGGTGTGGTTTCCCTAATTCCTCTCTCAGTGTGTTTGTTGTGTAGAGGAATGCTACTGAGTTTTGAAACACTCCACCAAAAGGCTTATAGATTTAATAACCAAATTCAGTAGCATAGTTGAATACAGCCCTTTGTTTTGAAGTTGCAACATTTCATTTGGAATTTCTGCTGTGTTCCTGCATACAGTTCCTATGCTGGCCAACTTGTGCTCTGTTAGAAAATGTAGCATCAAAAACTGATAAGCCAACAGTTGAAGGTCACATTCTGATCAGTTGGGTGATGAGAGCAACTAAGCCTGTTCACAACATCCTTTGGTTTATTACTATCTGAATAAGGATTTGGTGGCTGAGCTCCAGGATAAACTCAAAGCATAATAAGTCTTCACATCTACAAGGCCATAAATTTGTATGCCATAGTTTGAACATATTTCAATTCCTGTATTTTGGGAATATACCTCTTGAGCGTACAGTGACCATGAAATGTTGCAAGATGTTCATCAATAATCATGTATTCAGATGGTGTGTAAATTGCTTGATAGTTACCCACAAATTGCCTCAACAATGAGCATATAGTAGCCAGTTTATCAGTTCTTTTTCTTTCTTGGTCAGTGAGTTTGTCATTAAACCTCAGGTAATTTTGAAGGAAACCAAATCTCCTCACTGTTATCATTATTCTACAAACCTCAAGCCCACACCTATTGATTTTCCATAAGTCTTTTACATTCCTGTGATTACCATAAGAAAGCCCTGCTAAGTACAGCAGACATATGCATGCTTTCAGTTCAGCTAGTGAGGTGTCATAATAAATACAGTTTTGAGTATGACTAATGTTGCATACAGAATGTTTTACTTGTATTTCAGCATTTGTGTATTTCACAACATTTTGTAGCATTTTATCTTTTACAATTTCCGACATTGAATGGTATGTGGCATTCCATCCAGTAGGTTTCATTTTTGCCAAGACCCTCACTATATTTTTGGACCCAGTTCTAACACTGGAAAGATAGAGGGAAGAAGTGTTTGGGAAGGTGCCACAAATCTTCTATAGTGGTGAGCTCTATCCTCTTTCAATCATATGTACCATGAGTAAAAGATATGTGAGTAGACTCCATATGAGATGTTTTAAATTTATAAATTACATATACATTAATCTGTAGTAATATGTTACATACGTTGCAAAAGACATGACATCTATAAATAGAAAAGATTGAGATGAAATAAAAATATTTTAAAAACAAAATTTAACTTAATTTACTTATTAATGGTACACCAAAACTTTTTGTACCTGAATTTGAGCTTTATACTGATCTTCTCAGTGAGTTTTTAAATGCCTTGCTAATTAAATCAATATCATACTATCATTAGTTAATATCAAAAACTAAAATATCCATTTAGCATTGAATTCACTGTTTACAATAATGATGTAGACATCTATTTAAATTTTATGGAATTTTTGTTTTTAATGTTTTTGTCATATCCCTTAGTAAAACTGATGGGAGAGGAGCTCTTTCAATGCTTTCTTGTTTTTAAAAATTCATTCTGGCATTATAAATATTATCATCAATCCAGTCTGTTTTCAGGACTTTTTTCAAGCTCCTGTCCACTAATAAGTGTTTATTAGACGATAGAATCTGCCAATCTGTTTCATCAACCAAGGAAAGCAGTCGTGTATTATGATATTCAGAAAAGGAGAGGCCCACACTACCCGTCATTATGTCCCTACATGCGCGCATGAGGGCTGGAATACTAGCTGAGCAAGGAAGCCCGTTCATGAAATTCTTGTAAAATGAAACTTCTTTTTTATTTTTAAAGATAAAATAGATCTTATAAATAGTAATCCTAATATTTTTCCTATATGAAAAGCTGAAATATGCCAATTTAGAGACCACTGTCCTGGACCCCCTGGGGTCCCTTTGCACCCCAGGAAAGCCTGGGCCAGTGTGAGTTTCACAGAAGGGCTTGGGGGCATCCGGAGATAAAGGTCTCACCCCTGCTGCAACCATGGAGCTCTAATTTCATTTATTTATTTCATACATTAAGCTTTCTGATACATTTTCATCTGAACAAAGGACCCATAGCTACAACCTGCCTGAAACTCCTCCCTTTGGAAGCCCACACCCAACAATTCTGACGAGTGGGTTAAACTGAACACTGAACAGCAAGTTGCAAAGACAGCATTTTATCAGAGAACTAAATATATCAATTATTAAGTTCCTGGGTTTTATGTGTATTGTACTTTTCTTACCTGCAAAATCAGCCTCAAATCTAAAAAGAAAAACAGTTTAACCATACAGGTTACAACAGATTTGGGCATAAGTAAATAGGACCTAAATGCATTGGTAAAAATACATTTTTTTTTCTTAATTGAGACATTTAGTAAGTGATTTTCAATATTTTAGAAACTGATCATATTAAAGCCAAGCTGTAAAAAAGGATATGGTTCTTGGAGTATTTCAGTGAATTTAATCTTCTTTTGCTTTGGGGTGTTGGAAACACCCTCTAGTTCATGCATCTTAAGATAATATAAAATCACTGGACTCTGACCACCAAAATTGAAGAGAATGCGGTAAAACTCAGGACCAGGGCTAGTATAGTGGGACTGAAGAAAAAGAAAATAAATCAAGTCAGCTATTTTGCATTTTTAAAGAACTGCTAATTTCAATTGCCAAGTATAAGTAATATTAGTATTAAATGTATTTAAAATACATAAAAGTGTATTCTACAGAGCATGTTCTTTTTGTTGTTGCTTACTTTCTTCTTCTCTTGTTCAATCAGTGCATAGTGTTCCTAGAAGTCAGCTGGTCTGTCTGGCAGGTGTGCGCACGCTTGTCACATCCTTCACGTTGGTCATTTTCAGCTCACTGCCTTCTCGGCTCTGTGCTCAGTTTCAAAGTGTGTAATATATTCTAATCACACTCATGCCCATTACCTTTCCTTCACTTTCCTCCCCTCCCCCTTATTCCCTTCCTTTTCTAGTGAAAGTTCCCCTTCTACTACTTTTTGTCAGCTTTTTTTAGATTCCACATATTAGGGAGCACACATAGTATTTTTTGGGGGGGGTCTGGCACAAAGCATCTTCTTAATTAGAGGAATTTATGAGTACATGCAGTCAGGCTCTTCTAGTCTCTTGATTTATCATCGATCTTGAGTACAGGTCAGTAGAGATTATTCAGTATAATAATGGAGTAAAAAAAGAAGAAAATGAACAAAGCCAGAGAGAGGGGAAAGAAAAATTGTAATGATATAATAGTCAACACTTTCTAATTTTATGAAAAATGTATTCAAGAAGTTCAATGGATTTTAAGCAGGACAAATTCACTATTCACAAAGTATTTAAAAAGAAAAAGGAAGCTTCAGTAGCAACAAGAGAAAAACAACTCATCAAATATAATGAAATCTCAATAATTAAGCTATTAGCTTAATATCATAAAAAAGGAGGCCAGATACAGTGGGATAACATAATCAAAGATCTGACCAAGAATTCCATGTAAAAAAACCCAGCAAGTACAGTTACTCCAAGTATCCATTATTCTAACAGGGGATAAGATCAGTATAACAACTATTCATAAAGATAAGTTTTCTCTCAATGTTTGTAATGCTGAAATGAGAGATTTATTATTTACTTCACTTCTTATAAGAATATATGATTTTATTTTATGAGCTTTTATTGATACATAAGTTTCTTTACATTTCTTTTACTTTTGTGGTCACTTTCCATGCTGTAGATTTTTATTTTACACATAATATGTGAGTGATTACAAATAATGGGAATAATGGGACTGTCATAAACAAAATCAATTCTTGGATGGTGGAAACCTAATGTCAGTATCAGACATGCTTTCTATGTCTTAATGTCTTATGATAATCTACATCAGACTATATCTAGGCTGACTGTTAAGATACACACAAAATCAGCCAGCTGCAGTTAGAATCTGACATGTCCTCAGAAAGCTTGGTCATCAGCCTGTGGTGCTATGGGGAGGTGGGGGAACTTTAGGGGGTGGGGCCTGATGGGAGGAAGTGAGGTCATTGGAGGTGGGCCTAATGGAAGGAAGTGAGGTCTTTAGGGACAGGGCCTTGAAGGGAATAATGCGGAGCCTGAATCCTTCCAGCCTTCCTTCTCTCTCTGCTTCCTTCTGCCATGTGTGAACAGTTCTCCTTTGCCATGAATTCCTGCCTTCCCACAAGTTTCTGCCTTACCACAAGCCTGAAGCAACAGGCCTACTGACCATAAACTAAAATCCCCAAAAGTTTGAAACAGAATCAGTCTTTCCTATTTTTACTTTTGTTTTTGTTTTTGTTTTTGAGACAGGGTCTCCCTGTGTAGTTCAGGCTGGCTTCAAACTCACTATGTGGCCAAGGCTGACCTCAAACTCATGGTGATCCTCCTGCTTCAGCCTTCTGAGTGCTGGGATTACAGATCTGTGCCCCCATACTTGCCTTAGTCTTTTCCATTTTTAGGTTGATTATCTCAGGTATTTTGTCAGTGATGCAAAGCATGGGCTGATTAACACTCAACTCGAGCTCAGCTAAGACTAAAAATTATCTTGCCTGTCTAGAGAGATTTTTGTGACTCTTTTCTTGCTTCTGCCTTGGATAGTGTAAGATAAACATTATCTTCATAAAATTTTAGAAATAGGTATTTTTGTTACCTTTCTGCAGTTGTCAGTTATTAGGAAACCACAGTCAGGACTCCTTTCTCTATGAGGATCATGATTTTATTTTATTTTTTTATTTTTTATTTTTTGGTTTTTCTCCGGTACCGGGAACCGAACTCACGACCTTGCGCTTGCCAGGCAGGCGCTTTTGCCGCTGAGCTAAATCCCCAGCCCGAGGATCATGATTTTAAATGTTCATTCAACCAGGTAAGAGCAGAACTAAGTATGAAATACAAATTCAGTGTTTTGTGAGAAAACAGTCTTTTTTCAAATGCTTTAATGCAGTTTCACATTGCCCAGAGAGGGCCTTGTTAGAGCCCCTCCAAAGAGCCAAGCCAGTGAGCAGAAACCCCGAGTGCTTCCTTTCACCCCGCAAAAGATAAAGGCAGAAACCTGTCAGAGCACTATAAGATTTCATAAACAAGACTTGTACAGTCAAGAGGTAACAGCAGTAAATTTGAAAAGCTAAGCAAGCTTATAAACTTGAGAGGACCACAAGGGATGAACTAGAAAGTCCAAAGGGTGGCCTTGGTGCCTACTATATCTGTTAGCTTACTAACGGATAATTGCAGACACTGACTGAAAAGCTAGGCTTTGATTTTTGAGGTTTGAATGGGTGTTCTTCAATGCTCATGTCCAATGTCACACTCAGTGATAGGGACCCATAAGCACCCATTTGGCACTCAGACAACTTTGGTGCTTTGAAAAAAATTCTTTATGTTGAGCTGAAATCTGTCTCCCTATAGCTTTCCATTCTTGGTATAAGTTATACTTTTTTGTAAGCACTCAGAAAATGTTGAATTCTGATTTTCTACAGTAGCTCTCTAAGTATTTGAAAACAGTATGGCTTCCAGAGTGTTTTCATTACTAACAGAAATATCTTTGAATATTTGACCTATTGTGTAAGCAGATTCCTTTGTCATCTTATTTTCTGTTGAAAACCTTCTGTTTTTCCACAATGCTTTTCCAAAGCATGTTTCCAAAAATGGGCACAATATACCAGTTACTGTCCAATCAGCCTAGACTGGATCCTGTGTGTGATGCACTAAATGTCTGCTCCTCCCCGATTCACAACCACTGAGATGGTTTGGAGTGGGGCCTTTGGACGTGATGAAGTCCTCCAGGATGGGACTGTGGTCTTGACACCAGAGCTCTTTATCTCTACCACGTGAGGTCACAACTAAAAAGAGGCCATGTGCGAGCCAGGAAGAGAGCCCATCCCAGAACACCAAATGGACAGCTCTGTGCTCCTGGATTTTGCATAACCTCTAGTACAGTGAGAAATCAAGTCCTGTTGCTCAAGCTCCTTAGTCTAAGGCACTATTTTTTCATGGCACTTTCTATGGCACCCCAAGGTGCATTATCCAATGGGAGGAGGCTGTGATTCAGCGGGTTTGGTGTCCTACTATGGGTGCAGCTTCACTCGACTTCCTACTGGAATGGTGCCCTCTGAAAATGTTTAGTCAGCCCACATTCACCTGTCCTTATTTCTTAGTGCTTACTGAAGATTAGATACATGTTTGTATCACATTTCCCAATATCTAAATCTAGCAATCTTATCCCAAGAGAAAATTGTGTGATATTGTTATCCAAACTGGATAGATCATCAGTTCCTATCATAAGTACTTGCAAAGCACCCTTGGCTGCATTGTGAAAATTAAAGAGGTAGGAATTTTATAGAACTGGGTTATTAAAAACCAAAAAATACGTGACTACTAATGTTCAGAAAGTAGATTTTATATAGGTATAATTTTTGATTTTAAGTAAAAATTTAAAAATTTTTTATTGGCTGTAACTAGATAAATATGATTATATCTTATCAAGAAAGACTGTAACAGACCTAAAACCTAATTATCTAACAAAATTGAGGGATCAAATTCAGAATTTCAAGCCAATAAGCTCACTAACACTGTTGCAGCAGAAGACGGTAAGCCTGTGGAAGCTCCACTTGCAAAGCACCTTAAAGAACGCAAAGAAGTGAAGCATTTGAGACTCGGGAGTAACCCTGTCTATCTACCATGATCCAGTATTCCAGAATCATGGCTTAAAAATGAGTCTGAGTTGACCATTGTGATACTCTTCCAAAACTGTCTCAACTTGAGTGATTGCTGAGATCACAGGCCTGTGAACACATACAGGAAGGCTTTGTATGTTAACCCAAGGAGAAGCAGCATTGTGAGGAAAAGATAAATGCTATGATTTCTCTTCATTAGAGATGGGGATATTTCAGAAGAGAATAAGACTGTAATATTAAGATAAGTCCCTCTGGATAAGTCTCTTTTGATCATGGTATTTTTTTCTCTAAAGTGGGTGTGTAGTGTGTAATAGATGGTATCACCTATGTGAAGCTGGCCAATTCCAAGTACAGGGCAAGTCCAATGAGAGCTTTTTCCACTAATGACTTTCCTCCATACCTTTGCTGTTGGCCCGCATATGCCGGAGTCTTCCTTGAATGAGGACATTGTGTATGCTCTTGGATTCTTTAAAATTTTTGTCATACTGAAGTCAATACCTAAAATGGAAGATAAAATACATGTACACATTCTAGTATGTTTTTCCTTTACAAAAAGTCATTTATTTATTTATTTATTTATTTATTTTTTTTTTTTTCTGGTACTGGGAATCGAACTCACGACCTTGCACTTGCCAGGCAGGCGCTGTGCCACTGAGCTAAATCCTCAAAGTTTATTTATTTATTTATTTATTTTTTGGTCCTTTACAAAAATTCATGATACTCTTTTTTTTCCCTTTCTGTCTAGCAATGCACACTAAACTCGGAGAGAGTCCAACATGGGTGAGATGATTGGAAGATGGTTACAGGTTGCCCAGCCAGAGAAAATGAGTATTTCATTTCACATTTTTATTGAATAAGCCTTTAGAGTTTACAAAATCCACGCAATTACATTATCTTATGCCATCTTCACCGTTATGGTTTGTGCCTGGATGTCCCTCAAAGCCTCATGCAGTCATGGGGCAGGCTTCTAGAGTTTATGATTGATTCATGGCCATGTTGGGATTGTGGGTGTGAGTGCTACACCCGGCCTGGAGTGGGCAGTTTGCATACAGTGTAAGAGAGGGAAAAAGGCTGCTTGCTGCTGCTCCTCCCTTTTTCTCTTGTTGCTTTGCTGTTTTCCATAGCCATGTATTGTTGCCCTCTGCCATGAGCCACCCTGCCTTGGAGCCAGCCACGTACGGACTGAAACCTCCACAAACTCAGCTAAATAAGCCTTTCCTTCCTTAATGCTGAGTATCAGGTATTTTGTCTCAGCAACAAGAGAAAAGTAACCAAGACACTCACGAAATTATCCTGTGAGCAAATAACATTTTCCACAGTTTGCAGCCCAGGAAAGTCCATGACTTGTTAAGCCATCATTTGTTCTGTGGTGGAGGGATAGAGAAGTCTAGAGTTCTTCCATGACTCTAGTTTAGCGTACTGAGAGGCTGGGGGGTCTGTGTGTCAGAACCCCTCTTCCCCTATTCTGACAACGCATCCAGAAAAAGAGGGTTGGTGATCTTCCCTTCCAACTTGCATGAATATGCATGAGGAGCCAGAGGGAATCTTGCCGAGTTTTGAAAGACAGACAGTTACATGATTTAATCAACCATGTCAGTTGCCCTAAGGGTACAGGGTAAGTGTCAAGTGTACCTTAACACAGCACAGAGAAGGAGCGTGATTGGAGAGTCTCTAGATTCTGGCACTGATCATCAGTTACCAGAGAAACGACTCAGATCTAAGGAGTGCAGAGTGGGAGACGAGCCTCTCGAGAGTTCGGGAGAGTCACTTGAGCCTATTTTTGACATTATATATTCAGAAATATTAGACATCAGCCTGAAATACTACAGGCAGAGTAAAGGGCTGGTTAGCAAAGGAATTACACTGTAAATTTTAAGTAGAAACAGCAAGTTGGAATTAGATGATAAATCATATAATTTTAAAAGTTTTGCTAGATTTTGAATCATTCTTAAATACAAATTTACATGATATTAATTTCTGGTTTCCTATGAATAAGTACAATTTTATTTTATTTTATTTATTTATTTTTGAGCAGCCAAGAACAAAACTGCCATTTATTAAGATTCAACAAAGTGTTGCACTTTTGAAAGCAACTTTTGGTGCACGTTCTCGAATGACCACATTCCATGAAGAAAAACAGTTAAGAGCCACAAATTTGTTCTTTAATCTCAGAGCTGCAGACATCTTAAATTCAAACTCAAAGGGCAAAACAAAACAAAACAAAGGAACAGGAAAAAGAAACAACAAAAAGTGAAAACAGCAGATTCTTCCTCCCCCAATTTTAAAACATCTGGAATTTTTCTACAACTCAGTGCTAAATGGCAGCACGGCAAGCTGAATGTCTGCGTGCGCACACAGCACATGCACACGCATGTATTTGATATGTGCACATCAAGTGCGCAATGGCAATGAGATGCAATGGAACTTCTAAATCGTGCCTACTACAGCCACGCTAAAAAGCCTACTTTTTAGACCATCTGACCTTGGTTTTAGAATTACTGTCAACAGAACGTAATATACATTAATGGCAGGTGCAGACTCTAGGCTGGGAACTATAGGCACAGGAGGAAGTAAGAGCTAGGTGAGGAGCACAGAAATTCAAAGAGGCAAAAAAAAAAAATCAAACAAAAATCGGCACCCTCCCCAAAGCCCCAAACCCCACTTAGGCACAAGAGTAACAACAATATTAAAATGATCGTCCTATTCCCTGCTTCTCTCTAACCCAGTGATTCACTCTAGGGAAAATGCTACAGTTTTCCTGTATTTTCTGTTCTCAGCACCTGCGAAGCTTGGGGCGCTTGCCTGAAGATGACTCCCGTAAAGCTGTAAGAAACCGTTTCCTCACTGTTTTCATTGTCTATTTAAACTCCCTAGTGAAAAAAATTCAAGTGTTATTCTACCTACATTGGGAAAGTTTCAATTAAATAAAATTATAATTCTCCCATTTTTGTTAGGAATTTTATTCCCCTTATTTTTTTATTTTAAAAATAAGAGAACAAAAACATATTAACAAAAAGACATCCATTTACAAAATAGCACAAGAACAACACAAGCAATACTGAGTTACAGACAAGGAGACAGGAAATTAACCATGGCTGCTGCATTACATACTGATAACTTCACAGTGGTTACTCAGGAAGACAAATGTAGACATGCAAGACTGATCAAATAATGAATCGTTTTACTTCCCTTAAAAAAGAGACATTTACGCAGCTAAGCATGGTCATCTCCCTCTACTCTTGCAGTTTTTGATAGCCTTTCTGAAATGCAAATAAATCCTACAATATTTCTTGGCAAAACTAAGCTCAGGTAAAGTAGGTCATATACAATAAAATAATAATTGAATGTAAAAACAGAAATATCATGACTCATAGATCTACTTTAGAATATACCTAATTTGAATAAAAACTACTCCAGAAAGAGACTTCCATTTAGCACTGAAATGCAGCGGGAAATGAAGGAAAGAGAAAACTCAGGTGGCCATTAAGCAAAATGTATGTGATGTGAGCAATGAGAAATAAAACATGAATGCGATGTTCTCTTAGCAAAACATGAAAATGATGAGTATTTCAAAGAAAGTATTGCATGGTGACAAGCATATTCTTACTTCTTACTCTATGAATTTTCTTGTGCCTCCCTGACCTTTTTCCAGATCCTTGTTCTAGTATCCACCTCCCAAAACCCTCCAGCATCACCCTCTGCAGGCCCAGTCACTGGCTTGTGCAGATGGTAGAACCCAGTGTGCTACACGTCTCTATAGCTACGCACAGAGCCATCCTCCTGTATCTCTGTAAGCAACTTCTGGTTTAAACAGGCAGACTGAAGCACTAGGAGTTCACAGTGCTGTAAAGTAAGATTAAACCGCTTCTCCTAGTGATGTGATGTTAACACAAAATGGAATTGTAAATAACTTTCCACAGAGATTATAAAGGTAAGGGCTTTGCTAACTATGATGTGCTGTGTATACGTAAGTTGTCATAATATGTTGGCTTTCACTAGCTCCGAGCTGAACTTAGTATATCCAGCGACGTGAAGCTCTTGTGTTATAAAATAGTGACCTGAGTCATATTTGCTTCCCAAGAAAAGTGCCACTTTGTTTTATTGTGACATTTTGGGCAGGTTTCCTTTTCCTGTCATTTCTTATCATGAATTATATTGAATCTTGAAGGACTAACTTGTTGCTCAGACAAGTAATAGGTACCAGAAACAAGTGACTAGCTTCCTGAGTATTTCTAGAGTTTCTGTATAAAGACCAAAGAAGCAAGTATCTGAATAGGAAACTGGGTATTTATGAACAAGACTCTGGAGCCAAAGGTTGCAGACTTGCAATAAAACAGATTAGGATTCAATCACAGGTGATGGTGAGGAAAATTATTGATCCTTTTTAAATCATTCTTGTAGATTGGAAATTTTTTAAAAATTTTAAACCAGTGAGTGGATTCTGAAGCAAAAAAAAAAAAGGAACATATGTTTAACACACACAATTTTAAGGATCAAAGTTGTTTCTTTTTCAAGGAAATTAATGGAAAAGACCCTGACATATACGCTGGGATACAAGTGTGTTTCTTTTTTTAAAGGAAGAAAGGTTTATTTTGGCTTATGTGGAATGCAAATTCCTAATAACTTTAAGATCATACCATTAAGCTGCTAAAATTTTCTAGAATCCTGACTTAAGAAAAGGAGCTAATGGCTTCATGAAACTGCTAAGATCAAACAGAATGAGAATTATTATATGGGACTAAATGAACTGATGAAGATGATGCTTTTATGAATTTTAACTTGAAATTTTGTAGTTTCTTAATGGTTTAATTTCCAGATCTAAAACTTTCTCTGTGGCTGATATCAGTTTAGTAAATTATACTTTTGTAAACAGAATCTAAATACTTTTTCTCCCTATCTCGTCCATCAGGATTAGAAAACCATCATTGAATAGTCTTATTTTAGGATAACACATTTGTTCCATATGTTCTATAAGAATCTGTTTTTTTGTAGCTGGACCGAATTGGAAAGACTGGGTATGTTAACAGGCTCTGATTGCACTGTCATATTTTCAGACATGAATCGTCAGCTTTTCTTCTGATTCAGTTATGAGGATTGAACCCAGGACCTTGTGCATGCCAGGCAAGTGCTCTACCACCAAGCTAGCTCTCCAGACCCTGGGCAGGCAGCTCTAAGAACTAAGATGGACTTCATGGAGCCCATAAAACTGGCCTGGTACCTTGAATACTTGCTTCCTATACAGGTTTCCTAGTCTTGTGGTATGTTTAACTGTCACTTCTGATAGGCTCAGTAACCTCAGAATATTTGGGGGACTTCAATCTGAGTCAGGCCGAAAGTTTCCAAACTAATGCTTCCAATGTTCTCTCACCTTTCTGACTTGGATTAAAACAAAACTTGAGTTTTTGGTGAAATGCTTCAAGCTGAAGCTGCACGACTTGATGAAGAGTTTGGAGAAATCACCCCACAGCTGGTGCGGGAACAGTGTTGAGCCTGTTGTT